CTGCCCATTATTTGGCAAGGCAATAAAGTTTGCCAAGCGGGCGGCACTGACTCTTGCCAAGGATGCAATGGCACTGCATCGCATATAAAATACGTTGCTTTAAAAAAAAAGAATTTACAGGAGTGCTGCAGTGGGGAGTGCTTGGCTAGAGGGTACCCTATGCGGACTCGGCTTCGTAAGCAGTTAAGGATTTCATAGATATGACATATAGTATGAAAAAGAATAGTAGCTAATCAATGCATCAATCGATACTTATCGATATTATATTAGGCGTAGATTAGGGTTCATATTCACTTTGCCTGCATTCTTGATTAAAAATAGCTTTTATCGGGTAGTCCTATACGTCTTCTACAGCTACATACATTACTCTGAAACCCTTCCACCTCTCATCTTATCCATTTTTGGGTAAAAGGATACACTTCTTCCAAGAAGACAAGATGTGGCAGACTACAGTGATCAATATATAGATAATTGCACCAAAACAATGCACAATAGGAAAGAAAATTTGGTAGCTGATTAATCTTAACTGATAGGAGAAAATATAAAACTAACAGGTCTAAAGCAAATAAAGAAGTTTCGCCAGTCTGTCTATCTAAAACCTTGAAGCCAGCCAATATCTAAATGAAAATAGAGCCTTGTGAGCACATATATTAAAGTATCTATAAAGAGTATTCCCTAGTTAGACACTTCCGACTATAAGTTTCCTTTTCAGTTGACTATGTGCTTCAACAAATTAGTACGATATACATACAGGGTATGTGCTAGTTGAGCAATTGTAAAGTTTATTTTGACTGTTTTGTGGAACATCAAAAAATTGTGGCTGGTGCCATGGCATCGGCAAACGCTGCATACTCAATTCCCATAAAATAAAGCACAAATTACTAAAATAAAAAAAAGGATTCAGGCAGCCTTTCTGCCTGTGCAGCAGGACCCATTCCTCTGGTCGTCTTTCTGTTAATTGTGCGATTCTTTGCTTTGCTGCGCTTGCAGTTTGGCCCCGGCGACTCTGTTACCCATTGGCTTTTTTATGGCAGTTGTGTTCTCTGTTCGGTTGCTTTGTTTTATTTGGCTGAGTCTCGTCCTGTCCCGCTGAACACACACACACACACACACACCCGCTCACACAGGCACACTTGTATAGATGTAATTGCTAAAGGATTTCGTGCGGATTTATTGTTGCATAGTTTGTGCTTTGGGTTTGTTGTTTTAGCCCTTGAAAAGTTGTGTACGTACATTGATAGGAATTTGATTTGTCAGTTGGTTAATTTATGACAGGGATTGCTGAGATTTATGCTGGATTGCATCAGTTGATTGTGTGAAAAGGAATGAAAACGAATAAAGCAATGTGGCGCAAAAAAGAAAAAGTAAAGACTTAAAAAGCAGCTAAAAGAAAAGATAAACGATGACAACAAATTGCAAACAGATCAACAATGTTAAGTGCGTATTCCATGGATCCAGTGCAGACTTTCGCACTTGGCCTCTGCCTCCCTTTGAAAGTGCTAGTTCCCAAAAATCTGGTCCAGTCAAATGGCACTTGCAGCTTTTGGCAGGACTTGCTGCTGGATAGTTTCTTTTCGTGGGCAAATAAACTGTTAAAAATGCTGAGTATGCACGATTTTATGAGAGAAGCCGAAGGGGAAAGTGGCGGGAGGGAGCTGAAAAAACCTGCGAAAAACTGGCAACAAATGAAACAACTGACGCCAAAACAATAAATGGCTCCAAATACTACACAGCAGCAGTAGCAGAAGCTATCGACGAACACAACAACTACAGAGGAACAACCGAACAGCAGAAGTGCCAAATGGCCATCGAAAAAGAAAAAACTGGGAGGCTGGAGCCGAAGGAAGAGCAGCGGCCATTTCATACTTAAAGCAAGGGAAAAGCGCGCACATGTGGCAAAGGGGGCAACCAAACGAAAATCGACGAAAATCCTTTAGCATGTTGTTACAAGTGGCCAGGACGCAGTCACCGCTCAGCCCTCGCGCTGTTCGCTTCACTCCAATCCGTGCCACCAAAAACCCAAATAGTGCCACTTTTGGCTGCCTCTTCATCCGTTTGCCATACGTTGCCATTCGCTTGCTGATTCAGCAAGCAGCAATTGCCACGTAGCAGGGCTCCAAGTCCTTGTCTTGGCTCCGTCTGCTCCACTCTCTTGTACGTTTTTTATCCTCGGTCTGTTTGTTTTATTTTGGCGCATATCTGCAGATATTTTTGCAACACTTCATAAACCATAAAAGCACAGCCAGCGAATGTGGTGTAAAATGCAGCCAAATTTAATTTGCAACTCATAATTTCCGTTTAACGCGCTTCAGGCAGCAGCTGCACAAATTGTTTCTTTTTCCTCTTCCGTCCAAAGAGCATTCTCTCTCTCTCCGTCTGCATCTGCTGACAGGCAATGTGCAAGCTTCGAGTGCATTTCTGCTCTACATGAAATAGACTTTTGCTTGAATTAACAAAACTATTTCTTAGATCTTAGTCTACAGTTCGTTGGGGGATTATCTGGATTATTATAAAAACAATAATTCTAAGCATTAAATGTTATTTATAGGAATAATTACTCTGAACAAAATGCGCACTACGAGGCTCAATAGTAGCCCAAAAGTCAGCAGTCGTATAGGACTAAGAATATTTATTGCCTTACGCTATAGGCGCATGGAAGATGTGTTTCATATATGCATATCAAAGAAAAATCAACAATAGTAAACAATAGTAAATATCTTGTAAGAAAAGCTTTTACTTAACATATGTTCGTCTATAGGTAGCGCCTCTAACGCTTAGCTCAAGTCGTGCCATATTTCAGTATGAAAACTTGCTTTGAGTCTAGAATTGTAAAAGCACGGAACAAAAACTCTTTCTTAGGAATCTTTACATTACAATTGGATTTGGCCACAATAAAAATTCTATTCGAAAACAAAATAACTTTGCAAAATGTGTCACATTATTATATAAAAAGTATTTGAGAAGCAAACATAAAAAAACAAAGAAATTCTTGGATATTTTCTATACAGTTCTGTTTCTCATATTGTTCTTATGAGTAGTCGATAGACTCGGTGACGTCGTTGCCTGCTTCCAGTTGTCTAAATAGGTAAATTAGTAGAAGACGTGTGCTGAGAATTGCCTACCTATATTAACTACTATTACAATGCATATTTGTTAAATAAACTTAATAAGTTTATTTTTATAATTGTCATTTATAAATTGGCTTAAAGTGTATTAGAATTTCATTGGCCCAAAAATTAAACAGATTCTAGTTATATTCACTTTGTGCTTGCATTGTGACACCTTTGATTAATGGCTTTTATCATTGGGCTGTTGGTGTTGGTTCTCTCGGCTAGCTTATGCTATGCTGAGAATTTAAGCCATATACAGCTTAGAGACAATCAGTTATGATAGGAAACGCAAGCATTATCGATGAAAGTATTAAAGGCAGTATACTCAAGAACATTCAAAGAGTTGAGATCTTAAATTTGAGGCATCATAGCCAGAGATTGGATCGCAATAGATGTCTCCTGCTGCAGTGCAGCCAAGCAAGTGAGAATCAATTATGGATCAGCTCAGCGCAAACAACCCACACACCATTTTCGAGTTTCTATCCTGCTTGCATCCTGCCATCGATAAGTATTTTAAACATTATATTATTCTAATAAAAACTTCCTTTTTGAAGAGCTCACAACAATTGGTGTCTATGGCATTGCACAAGACGTTTGCACTCCTCTGGCTGGATGCAGCATAGAGCGAGCAACTATACAAAACTATTTGAAGAAGAAGTGCATTGAGATTGGCTACGGAAAGCGGTTCCAACTGGAGATGCTGTGCGCCCAGTAGACTCGGCATTGCCTTGGTAATGCATAAACTATCAAAATGTCTGCTAAACGAATGCGCTATACGATATACGGGAATAATGCCATACACAGCTAGGGTAGAGTCCGTAATGGCAGGAAACACCTAAATTGTCAATGAGCTTATTAAGAGCTATATGTTCAAGAATATTCTAAAAGAGTACAAAAACTTCTTTTGATCCGTGGCAATTCACAATTACAATTTTGGCAAGTTGAACCATAGAAAGTGGATTTAAGTCGGCGCCAGGTCAAATCTAATTAACACTAATCAAGGGCCAGCTTCGACAGGAAGTGAAGTTGCCAGTTGAATGCGATTCATTTTGCAGAGCTTCCCGGCTTCGAGAACAGATTCTCCGATGTCCAAGCGAATGCGCGGATGTCACAAGTGTCGGGCAAACATTTCATTAGGGCCAAATTTAGTGTTTTCTTTTCACAGCAGCTGCTAATGAGAAATTTGTGTCTGCGCGAATCCTTTTCAAGGTGCCAAGCGCCAGGCCAGTTCCGTCGTACGCCACTCCCAATTGAGCGTTGCATGGAGAGCGGAAACAGCACGAAAATTAATTAAATTTACCCCAAAAAAAAATATAAAAAATAAAATAGGAATCTGATAAAAAGCTACTTTTCTCATGTCGAAGTGATAATACCCTTGCAGAGCCGTTGCTCTTCTTTAACTATATAAAAACACGTCATATTGTGAAACTGTTTTATATCCGGCTCGGGGTTAAAAAAGATATCCTTCAATATTTTAAATACACGAACAATTTCTAACCTTTTTAAAATTTTATTTGATTGTAAACTGATTTCTTATGAACTAAAAGCAGTGCATAGAAATAGATTCGGGAATAGAAACTGTCCGACTGACAGTTCCTATAAACTTTAAATTTTGGGAAGCCAGACTTTATTATTCTTGAAGAGAATACGCGAAATTATAATGCCCCTGCTGCAACCGGATAAGTAGCACAAAATACAAGCCAAGTAAGTCGGACTATCTGGCGAACAAATGTCCTTCTAATGAACACTGATTTTGCTTGTTGCCAAACGGCAAACAGCAAATGGCAAATGGCAAGCGGCCCAAATGCAGAGTCTTTGTCTGCCTGGCCGTCAGATATTAAAAAATATATAAATCATAAACAGATGACGCTTTTTTGTGACGCTTTTTAGGCTGCTGCTGCTGCTGCTGCCGTTGGCATTGCCATCGCTGTTGCTATTACTACTTTGCGTATTATTTATTCATAATTTCTTTTTATTGTGTTTTATTGTCAGGACAAAAACAGGAACTGCCATAGACTCGCCAAGTTGTTCGTCATTTGTCGCGTCACACGCACAACGTGGCGTATACGTCACGTGCAGGTTCGCAGGGTGCCAAGGCAGGGCTTTGTGAGCCCCTCCCTCTGCCTTCCCATTGAATGCTTTTTTACGCCTGCCTAGCTCAGCGCAATCAGTTGACACTTCCCTGAGCATGTCGCCATTTATCCAACAGTGCTCGCCGCCCTCTGCTTATTTTGCAAATTTGTATTTCTTGTACAACTGTCACTGAGACACAGACGGGGCAGATAGATGCGCAGCTGCACCAACAAAAATAACAGCAACAACAACAGCAATACTTCGGAGGCGGGGACAGTAAAAAGAAACATCCATGTCTCGTTTGGCCGGTTTCTTCTCCTCTCCAACTTCTACTTCCACATCCACTTTGACGGTGCCTGCGACTGTGTCTGCGCCTGTGTCTCCACCCGCCCATGGCCATCGCCACACATGCTTCGCTCCGTTTCTCGGTTGGCTGGTTGCCCCACCAAGGCAGTTGTCATCAGCATCAGCAACTTGGAGCACCCACTGCTGATCGAGGGGGGACCTGGCATTAACTTGGCAGTGCTGCAATCATTGTCATTATCATATGCGTCATGATTTTTGGTTCTGTCTGTCAAAATCAGTCTGGGCGCCGCGTAGCCAGCCAACCAGACATGTCGTCTGTAATGGCTCCAAGTCGCTGATGACATTTGTCAACGATTGCCATTGCATAACCTAATAAAAAGTATCTCCAAATAACAGTGGAAACAACTCAGAGTCCTTTTATTTGAAAGGACGCGCACCAAGACCAAAGCTTCATTTTCATACGGATTTTTGCTTTTAATTTGAAAACAATATTTCAAGAAAATTTTATTTGAAAGGACGCGCACCAAGACCAAAGCTTCATTTTCATACGGTTTTTTTTTTTTTAATTTGAAAACAATATTTCAAGAAAATTTGTAAGAATTACATTTGATTATATATGCTGTACTTCCTTTGACTAAACTTATATATCATTTGGCTTTCGATTATTAAGAACTAAAATACATTATTGAAAGGAATACGCTTAGGTTGCATATGCATTGATATATGGCATGACCTGAACGATTTTAACAATTTAATTTGTAGAGGAAAATTTTTAAACAAAACTAAACTATAAAAAGTTTTTTAATTAATATTAATTATACAAAGAAATTTAAGAATTAAGACTGATTAATATTATAAAATATGGAAGGAGCCCTTTTTATAAGTACTTGAAATGAAGTTTACAATTATATTATCATCAAAAAATTCATATAAAGATCATAGTCTTTTCTCTACCGCTCGGTCTGCCTTTAATTCTATCTCACGTGCTCTACATTATTCTCTCTACCTCCATCTATGTGTTCCTCTCTCTTTCTCCTGTCTCAATTTCCAAGTTGACAGTTTTGTTCTCGAAATCAATCAATCAATCGAAATACTGCCGGTTGTACTTCATTTGAGAGAGAGTTTTGCATGTATGTGAAGTACATTATCTGTAGAAGTAAATACGTCTATGAACTACGCCTTAATCTAAGAGGCAATCAGCTTTTTAATTGTAAGTGAGAAAACACTATCCGCGCCATGTCATGTCACTCGAATAGAAGGCAGAAAATTCGCATGAAAGGCACACAGAAGCATTTCTATGTTAATTTTTCTGCGACGTTACATACTGGGCTGGGGGATGTGGATATGGCAGCATTTCACGGTACTTAGTCCGTATGTTGCAAAGGTGTTCGGGGTGCTTGAATCGGTTGTAAGGGCGCATGAATTATGTGCGACGTGTACGAAAAATTACGCTTGAAAATTGCAATGATGAAATAGAGAGAAGAAAAGAAATTTATTGTGCGAGAGGAGGGCGAGGTGCAGGCTTAAAACCCCTTTTTGTCTGGCGGATTAAACACGCTTTTGAAACTTATAATGACATTTTTTCAGTTTGGCGAATGCAAGGGGTGCTTCAAGATGCCGGAGGTGGGGTGGGTCATGATAAGCAGCCTAATTTTCGACGAGTGCTGTTCAAAGTTTCTGCGCATTTCAGCGTAGAAAATGCAATAAATTAAGCAAAATACTCGAGTCACCTTGAGCCTTGAGTCCTGATCCTTGAGCCGCGTTCCAACTTAATGGCTGCTGGGTTAGAAGTCAGACCCTGAAGGGATGCCAGCGTATTTTGTGCGACAGCAGGCGTCGCCTCGAAAGTTTATTTCTGCTCCTTTATTCTTCTTATTTTTTTTATTTGACTGAGCGCGTGATTAAATGTAAAATTGGATTTTTATTATTTGTTTGCAAAATATCCTTCGTTGTTGTCCTTCGCTGTCTTTTGGCAAGTTTTCAAATTTAATCGGCAGGCAGCGGCAGCAGCAGCAGCTCGGACCGGTAAGGGGGAAACGCACGTCAGCATCCCAGTCAAGTTCGCATATTTTGCGCAATTTTTTAAGGGGTTCGCCCTGTAAAACCTTTATAATACGATTTCGCCACTCACTCCACTTGCAATCCGCAGATAATTCTCCTGTAGTGCGTCAGCTGTTGAGCATGCGCTTGGCATTTCTAATGAGTCGGATTCGAGGAGTGGGTCTCTGAGCTCTGTCGAGCTCTGTGTTTTAGAAAGTTATTATAAAAGCTAACTTACTGTAAATAACTCATTTATAAGTTTATCTACCGAAACAGGCACCCAACATATACATTTCACAATTAGCCCGAAATACATTTATTCTTTCAGCAATTGTTACTGCTATTTACCAACAACGTAACACACACACACACAAACACCAGCCAAAAGCCGCCAGCTAATTGACACTAATTGCAAACAGTACGAACAACAATTGCCAGCTCTGCTCTGCTCGGGTCTGTTGTTATTTCTGGCTTATGCCACTGCCTGATTATCGGGCCAGCAACAATTACAGAAAGCACAGACAGCAAATGAATAGCTGAAAATCATTTGGTGCGAGTAATTGCAATAAAGTCGTCAATAGAAATAGTGCGAGGGAGTGAGAGAGTGAGTCTAACTGACAGACAGATTGTGACTGATTATGAGCCAAATGAATGTGCAATGGGTGCATCCGAAACGAAATCCCAGCGTAGAACAGCTGGCCACAACAGCCGCAGACAGGACTTTCAAAAGTTACTCAAAGTCTAGCGCAGATGCAATTTACCGAAATTGCTTATCAATGACTCAAAGTGGGTTGCTCTCAGCTTTTTTAATTGCGCATCTAATCGCTGATTCAAATCAATTTGCTGACTTATGCAAATTTGAATTGCTGATTTTTCATTTCGATTATAGCCAACATGCTTCAAGTGTTTAACTAGTGAGGCAGTTAATTGAAAGTGTTGCTGCGCCATGCGAAATTGTATTAAAAATGTATATGTCTATGGCAGTGATTAGGAGTGCTGCGCCTGTATGCCCTCAATGGCTGTTGCTGCATTAAATTGTCAAATGTCTGGAAGTAATTTCCAGAGGCAGTCCCTAAACAATTGGCGTGCCAAATCTCTCTAAGCTCCTGCAATAGCATGCTTGTAATGCTCGCCATGTGCCTCGGCGGCGGCGCCCAGCAATCAAAATGCCATTGCTGCCTGGCCTGGCTGCTGAGTCCCTGGGCTGCTGCTGACGACAACAACTGAAGCCATAATCAAATTCTGTCACATTTAAAGCACTTTCGACACATTTTAAAATCAAATTTTATGGCCAGAAAACGTTTGGCAATAAAGCCAAGCCCGATGTGTATGTGAGTTAAGCTTAGGCGATGCGATGCGATGCGATGCGATGTGTGATTTGATGTGATGATAATAATAGGCAAAAATTTGGCAACAATTTGCGTTCAGGGAGCGATGAAGACAATCGCAGCGCCACAGGCTGCCTGAGAATCGCACGAAGAACAAAAACAACAAGCAAGCATATATATGTATCTAAATATATATGTGTGCATATGTATATATAAGTATGTTTCAGGAAATCCGAACATAAAAGAGCCTCCATCCCGACATATAAGTATTATCTGGTCGTGTTGCTGTCGAGTGTACTTAAATCCAATTGACAATTTGAAATTAAAATGCCGAAAAGTACAGCACATGACCGCAAAAACAAAAACGAGATGCAATGGACAGATGCAGATGCAGCTGCAGTTGCAATTGCATGCAGCAACAGCAACAGCTACAGCTACAGCTACATATGCACATGCTGTTTCAGATACAGATATATGGATAAATAGAACGCAACGCTGCGCATTGCTGGCGCAGCACATTTCAGTGGACATGGGAAAAGGTGTATGTGGTTGTGCGTGTGTGTGTGTGTGTGTGTGTAGGTTGGACTGTGTATATGCCAGGAATAGAAATTGCAATGTCAGCAATTGGCAGCAAGGCAAAATCTAAATAAACATTGTCACAAAATGCAAGCAACTTACCAGACCCAGTTCAGCCTCCCACTCCAGGCGACTGGGCGCGCAGCGAAAGGGTTTGGCCTGCCCAACAGTGCGAGCGTCGCCTTCGCTGCAAATGCTTGTCAATAAAATTGCCAACAGATCCGAGTGGATTGGGCGTGGGTGTGGGCAAGGGACATGCGAATGGGCTGCCGAGTGTGCATAGCCAATAGGTAGTTAGACGGAATACAGAGCAGACAAATGCAGTTTTGCATCTGCCTGCCGTGCTGCGATACAGATAAAGATACATTCCCAGATAGATGGAAAGATACAGATACATCCTGTTGCTTGACACGGAGTTGGTTTGCTCACGTTTATGCCAATGCCTGGCACTTGGGACTTTTGTCGTTTGCTTTATAAATAAATGCATTTTCATTTGCATGACACGCCCAAGCCCACACCCACACATGAAGTCCTGGCTGCCCCTCGCCCACTGATTTGTCAGCTTCACGCTACACATTCAGCCATCGCATCTGCTCCGCAACTCTTGTTCAAATTTCCATTAGAGCTTCCGGCATTTGTTTGCCCTTGCCGTGTTTTGCCTCCTGTCCAGCTCCACAGCTTTGATAACTTGCACATTAGTCGGCAACACCTTCTGTTCGGCTGCAATATACCTGCAGGACTTAATTTAAAAAAAAAACTCACCAATGTAGCATTAGAAATCCTGTGTAGCTCGAACAGGCAACATGTGTGTTGATTACAAAAGTTGCCTTTTGCATTAGTTTTGCAATTGTTTAAGGACTAAAGTGTACCTTCATCGTATTCTTATAATCATTAGATTACAACCAGGTGACAGCATTGCAAATGTATACTGGGGTGCAAAAAGGGATAAGGATGAACAACAGCTTTTGTTAATCTCTAGCTCTTGACTCGTGAAAGTCCAGTAAAAATAGAGACAGTCGATTGTCGGCTGAAGCTGACTGTGGGAGAAGATGCCATTCGCTGCATTATCACTTTCTCATCCGTTATCAGTAACCTTTCACACGTGAATGGTTGTTCATTTTGGTTGTACATTTTGGTGCTTATGACTGTTATAATTTGGATAGTGTAACATCTATGGATACATCTGCAAATGCTTTTTATTTATCAATACGCCTTACATCAAAAACGTGATTGAAAATGCCCAAATATAAACAAGCTACAGAATTCACATACAGCATCACTGAACTGAGTGAAGGAAGAATTGACTTTCCTGCAATTGCATGCCAAAACGACATGTGTAAGGGTATTTTCTAGTCGGATACTCTACACAGGAGCACTTATCTTTGACACAAAGGAGCACTTGTGCGATGAGTGCATTCAACGACTTTTTACAGTTACTATTTATAGTTCATTTTTCATCCCTTTTTCGTTGCCATTGTTGTTGTTGGTGTTTCATGCAATAATTTTAACAATTAAAGTGGATAAAAAACGTAGCATGAAAAGGGAGCTGGGTGGTATGCGAGGGGAAGGCATGCCCATGCACGACCAATAACCCTTCACTTAACCATTTCTATATATATAAATGTGTGTAAGTGTGTGTTTGTGTGTGTGCAACAAGCCAGCAACAATCACAACAGCGACAAAAACAACAACAATAACAACAACAGTGGCATTAAAAAGTCACCTTTGTTGCCAGGGGACATGCACCACATTCACGTCGTGCGCCCCGACTGTCCTTTTCAAATTGTCATTCTTCTTGTTTTATGCCCTGTAGTTCTTGCTGCTGCTGTTGCTGCTGCTGCTGCTCTATTGTAGTTGCCAAACTAATTGTACGCAACAAAAAGCACAACAAATATTTTCTGTGTAAAACATTTGAAAAATTCCCGTAAGGGGCAATTGCACTTGGTGACAACAACAACAACAACAACAACATGAAATGTGAGTGCTTGGCTGAAAATGAATGTGAAATGAGCAGGACGCAGGACAGAGCACGAAGAACTTGGAATGAGCCGTCCCTTAAAAGGGGAGTTGCAGTTTCGTTATTATTGTTTTATACCCTGTACTCATTATGCTAAAAGGGTATGCTCTATAAGCTGCATCTAAGAGAATCTCTTGCTCATAGTCTAACTATTCTGAGGCTTCATTTGATATCTTTATGATTATTTTATACAGTTTCTTGCAATAGTTCCTTTTTAATGTAAGCTTAACAATGTAGCTTAGTTATATAATATAGTTGTTTAAGATTTAAATATTACTACAAAATTTTCATTTTAAGATTTCTTTTAAAGAATACATATAATTTTCAACGATTCTGATTGAGTTTGTTGTCTTCCCTGACACGCTGACCATCAAGTCATGGCTTGTTCGCCTATGCATAGAGAGAGTTTTGTAGAATATTAAATACTCAAGCCAAAAGTGAACTTTATTGTTTATAAGCGGATTGTGAAATTCTTTCAAATATTGTTTCACCAAAGTGCAAGACTTTATAAGAAAAAGAAAGGTTCTTGATGTGCTTTACATTTAATATTATTATGCTGTATTCCATCAACAATGTTTTAAGCAGCAGCTCTGCAAAATTCAGAAATGTTTGTCTTCATCGATATTAAATAAATTTCGGCTGCTTGAATTTTAATATAGGGTATTTTCAATTCAGGAATGTTTCAGCAGCCTCACTTTCTGTTATTGAAGTTGTTCTACAATGGCTATAAATTAAGCAGCATAAATAAATATATATTATATATATACATAAATATATATATATATATATAAACATACATATATACATGTATATATATATATGTATATATATGTGTGTGTGTATTTTTTATTTTCTGTGTGTGCTGACTATTCCTTTTTCCCTAACTTGTAGCACAGCCCTGTTCGAATGTGGCGCCCCTTGCCGAATTTTATTATTGTCGCGGTGGAAAATTCAAATTAGAATTCAGAAGCAGAGCAAAAGCAACACCAAAAGCCAAATGAAACGCTATAAATTATCGCATCCTTGTTGGTGGTTGTTGTTGTTGTGTGTTCTCGCTTCTAAACAGCTTCTGCCGCTGGCTTCCCCTTCCCGCACAGCCCAACATCTGGAGCAGGTAAATTTAAGCGCGATTTGTAACGGTTTTGGCTTTGTCGTAATTAAAGGACATCCCAACACGCTTCGCCTCGGGCACTTTGGCACTTTAATTCGGTTTTGCATTTCAAATTTGTAAAGAGCAAATTATTGTGACAGGTTTTCTTAATTTGTATATTATGTATGGCTAAATTTAAAGAATAATACAATTCCACTATTGCAATACTCAGGAGATTCCGTGAGCTCAAATGAAACATAAGTCCATAAACATAAAGCCTGTTTATGTCCTTTCAAGAACAGCTCCGATTTGTTCGCAGCTGAGGAATAGCTTAAAGCAATGCCTTGCTAAATAACAAATTACATCCGTGTTAGAGCTAAAGCACTTAAAATCTCTCACACTTCAGAAGGAGCAGGCAGAAAGCCAAATTGGAGACCGCGAAATTGCGATGTCGCCCAATTCAACCTTCGCTAATGAAGGCGGCTTCAGGATTTGCCTCGAAACGCTGACCACGCCAAGCCTCAGAGTATCCCACTTCAGTTTTTTTTCAGTTTGAAATAATAAAATCAACGCCGTGTTACAAAAAGTTGATAAATTTGGTTCATAAATGACACAAAGTCGAAAATGCCCGACAAAATGGACTTTAATAAGTTTCATTCGGGCTCGGCGCAAGGCCCTTCTATTCTCTACTGCGCCGACAGTGCCTCCAATTTGTCAACCAGCGCTGCGGAGGATAATAAAAAGTACAATTATAATAGAAAAAAACATAAAATCTGCATAACATTTTATTTTTATTCAAAATAATCTCAAGCCACAGCCGAACTTCTGATGACCAGAAATCAGCGTTAGTCGGCTGGATTTTCTTTGATTTGCCTCGGAAAATAAGCGCGCGCAGAAAGGGCACTTGAGCTATATAATATTGAGAATTAACTTACTTCGAAAGTTGGGTGTGGGTCTTGATTAAATTGCAAACATACCTGAAATGAAATAAAAGCAAATATTATTTTAGCATATTTTTAAGTTATTATTAATCGCTGTTAAATTAGCTTTGTAGTAGCTTTTATATTGTGCTTTGTAAATCTTTCTTAACATTTAAGTGCTCAAACCAAGGAAACATCGCGGCTCTGCTTGTCTGGGCTGAAGAGACTTAATGTTATTATATTGAATTTATATGACATTTTCATTTTCACATCTCTCCACTCTATTACAATCTATTAACTTCAAGTTGAGACTGTGTAGAAAATGTCAAAAGTTGTCAAAGAAAAAGTGAGGCCAATTGACTAAGCCACGTGACAGTTAATGCAAAGTTCAGGCATTTTCTCGATGCAATTAGTGCATTCTTAATGGTATGTTTTAAATATACTTTTGAGTTGTCAGCTGCTGATGAAACTTGCCAAGAAAAAAATATGCTTTCAATATATTCAAATATTTTTGTTCAGTGACTTCCGAGCTCGTTTCCCAGAGTGAGCGTAATTTTTGTGTAATAGAATTTTACTCCACATCTACATATGATTGCGTGCTATGTATATGGATGTACATATTCCAGATCAAACGTTCTATAACAAGACGTTCTATATAACAAGTTTCTAGGTCAGGGATGGGCTTGTTACTTTCTGCTACATTCTTTCTTGTTAAATTAGAGTTTTTAAGTTTCTGTTAAATAAAAGTAATTTCTGGATTATTTCGGCTAATCAGCAGTCAAACATAATATAATTAAATAATTATTTTCTATATCTATAAATTTGTAAATTTATTTCGCACAATTGCAACAAAGTTGAGATAGCTCAAGGTGTAGTGTTCCGTATTTAATTAGGATATTCTATACGAGAACATTATTATCATCTAATGATATTCTATACGAGAGCTCATCTAGCGAGGAAGGGAAGAGAAAAGTATTAGTTGCAAGCCTGAGTATCGTACAACGTTCACGTGCTTAGGGCTTTGATGCTGCTTCTCATATGCTAGTCAAACACACATTCGCAAAGTTAATTAAGAACAATTTAAAAATTGTAATATTTAAGTTTAATGATTGGCTTTCAACTACAGTTTTTGATGCACAACACAAAGGACAAGCTCCCATAGGAGAAGCAAACGATCCATGGACAATAAGTCAACGATTACAAATAACTAGTTGCAATCTTACTCCATCTGCTGGTTGTATTCGTGGTCTAGCGAACTAATTAAAGGGCTACAAACGCGGGTGTCTCCCATGCTTTGGTGCTTTGGTGTTTGGTTGACAACAACAGGAAGACGACAACAGTAACAAAAACAATGGACAAACAAAGGGAGAGACAACAAACAAACAGCAAGGCGACTGCGGCGCAGTTTGCTGTGATTTAATTAATTTCAATGCATAACGTCAACTGTGAAACCGGAACCAGAGACCGAGTCGAAACCGTCGCCCAAGTCTGAACCCAAGCCAAAGCCCAAGCCCAGGCCCAAGTCCAGAGCCCATGTCCGACGATACAGTCAAACTTGACACCGAAAACCGAACCCGAAAGAGAGCCTCAACTATAGCCGCAGCAGAACAAGGACGAGCACGAGGACGAGGACAACAACACTTGGCGTCAACTGGACTGGAAAATTAAATCGAGTACAGTTTTTTGTGACTCTTTGCTTTAAATTCTAGGTTATAAATAAATGCTGTGAGCTGCCCTGACAATGATGAGCAAAGAAAAACGGAATGTAGATAGGAAATCCTGCCAGCTGGGCCAAAGTCCAACAGCAGCCACAACAATAACAACTCCATCACAAAACCTTAAAGTTTCCATTTTCGTGGCACTTGCCGTAAACATTTTTCCACGGCATTGCTTCCGCACTTCAATTAGCATTTTTGCCTATCTGGAACTGAGGCATACTTGAATGGGGTCTCCACAGAGACTGCAATTTACATTTCTAATTCGGAAAATCCTGCTATACTAAGTCAGGCTGTAAAACGGGTTTTGAAACTCTGCTTCATGCTTACTATTTTCAAAACTGTGGCCTTACCTAGCAAAACTCTTCTCAAATTCGAAATATTCACAGAAAAGTGTTTTTCACACTTCTCCACTGTCCAAATGGATTTACGAGACCAAATTTAAGGTGAAGCCACATAAAATTGCTCTCTTTAAGAGTTAGATTCGTCGCATGTATTTGATCTGAATTAAATTTTCTATTAGCTACGCATTTGAAATGTAAAATGGCAAAATGCATATTAAAATGTTGGCTGCCAAGCGAACTAAAAAGCCTGCCTCAATTTAATGTGCGTTGTATTTCTATTGGTATCTATAGAAATTATGCAGGCAAATTTATTACAGCACAGAATTTAAATGAGTTGAAATCGTTGTCATTGTTTTATTTATACAAAATGTGCGCTTTGTTGTTGCTGCAATAATGAAAGTTACTCAATTGGAATATTTCAGCTTATGTGCTTAACACACACACACACACTGACACAGACACACTCACTCACACACACACATAAATGCGAGAACAATGAAAGTGAACATTTGACAATGCAGCTCCATTCGTGACAGACACCACGAGCTGTGCTGCAGCTGTACCCAAGGGAGTCACCAATTTATGCGCCACTCCCCCTTTTGCCGCATGTCCTGCGAAAGTTGGTGCCTCAGTCCATTAGTCAGTTGGTGGTCCTTTGTTGACTTCATTCAGTTTTGCGGTACATTTGCTTTGTATTTTTGCTCCTCATCTCTGCTTCTTTTGGCATTGCATTGACATTTGGGTCTTTTTAAACGCCACGACTGGGTCTGCAATCAAGCGAATAGTTTTCGTTGTCCTCAATATGCTTTCATCCAGTTGGAGGTCAAAATTAATGGCAATCAAAGCTGTTTAACTCACATGTGTTTGCAGCTGGCCAGCAAATTGTCCCTGCTCTTGGTTCTTGTGAGCCCACAGAGAAATTGAATAGTTGTTATCTTAAGTAGATTTAGATTTTTAATGTATTCAATGATTGAGTTTTAGGGGATTCGAGAACATATAAACTATTGATTTTGCCTCAAAGACTAAGTGAGTTTTAAAGGCTGTCCTCGGAGCAGAAGAGTTAAATTTTCACTCAAGTTGCATACACAAAGACAATCGAGAATGTCTGTAAGAACTCTATTAAACATCTTTTAGAGTGCGCGAAGTATGAGGGAGATGATAGAGTAAGTGCAGTGGCAGAGTACAATAGGGTTGAGTCCCAAAGTTGTCGCCTTGGCTATATAAACCTAGCGCCCAGGAGCAACAAAAATGGCGCAGTAGCAAATATTACCAAGATGAAGACACGACGAGGCTGGCTGGCTGCTGTGGATGAATATATTTGTTTTAGGGATAAAAGGAATTCAGTAGGGCTTAAAAGTGCGGATGAGTGCCACTTCATGAGCAGCGCAAGGAGCAAGACGACCCACGCGACAATAACGACGACGACGACGACGGCGAGCAGGAGGCGAACAGGAGGCGGGTCTGACAATGAGTCTTAGAGGTAAGCGTCAGTAGAGCTAAGGGTTGTGCAGAGCGGGGCCTGTGCATAAACAAAGCGCGCGAAAAGCGCTCAAGAAAACACCGAAGAGTTAAAAATGACGTTAAAGTAAACAAGATGAAAATTAAAAGCCGGCAACGCCGCGCACTGCAGAGCTGAAGCAAAGCAGAGCACACAGCCTGTGTAAGGATTTGATTTAAAAATGGAGTGGTATTTAAATAAGACCTTGTTGCATATTCACAAGCGTTTCGTCGAATGGCAATGTGTGGCAGCCAGAAGCAATTTTAGTTGCAGCTTAATTGTCATTGCCACTGGGGCAACTGGTAGGTGCTCCAACTAGCTGGAGGCGGAGGTGGAGGTGGAGGTGGAGACTACTCCATTTACAATTTTTTGCCCGCGTTCGGCTTTTGTGTGCACTCTCTGAATAATTAAATACAGCCAAAAAGAATGCAAATGTGGTTCGCTCTACAACATTTTTCTACCAACGCGCTTTTTGCTAGCCGTAAGAACCACCTGTGCGAGATTATTCCGTAAAAATGCCATTATATACATTTTTTTATTCATGCGACGTTAAAAGCTCACTGTGCTAATGAGCTGGGATTTTAAGAGTTGTCCTGGTTTCCAGGCAAAACGCGCATAGTCCTTTTTATTATACGCACAGTACCACAGGAGCATAATGCCCAAATAAGGACTTGGGAAGTCAGTTTCCAGGACAAAAACTATAAGACAAAAAGAAATCAGAACCAGCAGCGTTCCACAATTGCCCTGGAAAAGCTGAAATTTAAATAAAAACATGTCAAATTTATTTTCCATGACACATTTGAATGCAAATTTATGCAAAGCGTGTCGATGGGCCACACAAACAGAAAATTCGAATAGAGCTGAGACTGCAACTAAGAAGAAATGCGAAAATACATTCCCAACCCTAGCAGGGAGCTGAAAAACTGTGCCAGGACAGGGCTATTGAGAATAAGCCAGCTTGGGTGCTGGCTGATTGACGTGGCCAACAACAGTCGTCTCTCTAATCCGTTAATAGAAACATTAACGAGGCATTTTTCGAAAATTATTTCAAGCACGCGACACCATCGTAGCCGTAGCCAGTCAACCCGTCAAGCCACCAGCCCGCCAAGCCGCCAAGCCGCCAACTCGCCAACAACCGAGTAAATCAGCACTGGCATGTTCAAGTCAGCTGGCTCTTCAGCACGTCAGTCAAGTTCAAAGTGGAATCGTGTGGGCAACACGGGTTGTTGTTAGTTTGCAAACGCAATTGGCCTGCTGCTGCATGGCTCTTTGGCTGCTAAGAAGAGACCAGTCACGTGACGGTCGTCGTGAAAAACATTTTCATTTCGCTTTAATTTGGTCGATCGTTAACCCTTTACCACTGACTTTTAGGAGGACCTTCTTTGCAACTGTGGCTGGCAATCAGAACACCTCGTGTTGTTGCCCTCCTGCAGCCCGCCTGCCAGTTTGCCTCTTTGCCTGTTTGCCCGTAAAGTTGAAGTAGCCCTAAATAATTGCATTGTAATGTGAAATAGCAACCACCCAGAGGTATACCCCAGCTCATACTGCTACTTGCGACCCATCCCTCATGCCTCCGCTTGGCTGCTGTTATTTTTGCACGTTCGTTTTGCCACACACACACACACACACACACACACAGTGCAGTGCATTGTGTTTATGTGTCGGTAATTTCCAATCTCACTTTGCAATCGTTTTACAACATTTTGCTTTTATTTTATGCTATAGCGTCGCTGGCGAGCTTTTGATAGTCAACTCCTCGCCCAGGACTTGACTCGCCGCTGCGCAG